TTTTTTTTTTTTTTTTTTTTTTTTTTTTTTTTTTTTTTTTTTTTTTTTACAGTTGAGAAGGAAATGTTGAAAAACCAACCCAATTGAATCCAAATTGTATGTTCTTACCGAGGAAGTGCCGAGTCCGACAGCAGGGATCTCGCGGCCGGAAGACAGGCGGTACTTCTCCACGGCATTTCCCCGTGAAAAGCCCGTCGCCAGCAAAACGAAACAGCAGATTCCCAAGGCCGACTTCATTTTCATGGTAAAACAATGAAGGAAATGTAGAAGAAAAAAAATCGTCGATTTTACACAAAGACGCGCAGAGCCGGGTCTTCTTCGCCTCCCGACCGGTTCGGATCGAGAATGAAGCGCAGCATATTCCCGCAACTCTAAATATATATACGCATACCGGCACGAGCTCGTGTATACGTAATGTATGTACACTCGAGAGAGTAAAAGTGGGTGGATCTTCTTCTTCTTTTTTGTTGTTATTATTCATCTCCATGTTCGCCGTATAGGTAACAATTCACTCGTTCCGGATTTTCTCTCCTTTTCCTTTACGCAGTGAATAGCGCGTATACGCGTTTACTCAAATTGTAATCGCCCATAGGCGCGAGTAAGATAACAATCGCGCCAATATTTGCATGCGGATGTCTATTATGCTAATTGCCGACTGTATTGTGTGCATATGGTTGTTTTTAACAATACTTTTTTTTTTTGTCGCCACAGCTATACGCGTGTACATGAGAAAAGAAGGGAAAGAGAGGCGAGGCCATTGACACGTGCATGTGCGCTTTCATACCGATGTACGTACAACTCTGCGAATGGTCGTCGGCTTTTTACATACACGTTGCGTAATAATTTTGTAATAATACGAGCTGAGTTGATGGTTTTTTTCCCCCAATGCCACAAATGGACATGGTTAACCGAGGATTGGCCATTTACGGAGGATCTGTCGCAACATGGGGATTACGTGTATATGGATACGCGTTTCATATTCGCTCGTTCGGCTTGTCTCGCAATTTTTTTTCTTTTTTTTCAACGAAATGTGCCAACAACGCCTCCCATCTCGATATAAACTCGTGTCTGGTGCGTGTCTTTTTTCGCTTCTAACATTCTCTGTTTATTTCATATGTCAATAACTGTGTGTACATTATACACGCTTAACTTTTGGCCAATGTCTTTTTTTTTTCAACTAAGGGAATTAACACCTATTCGTCGAAACTAATTCGAGATTAAAATAATGTTGTTACGTACCACTGGCTCGGGCAGCGTATTTTTTTCAACCTTGTGCGGTTTACAAGGTTTCGCGTGATTCGAAATGCAAACAAAAAAAAAAAAATAAATAAATAAAGTGCCCATCGGTTTATTGTACACTTGTACGTGAGAACACATCTGCCTCTGAATGGCTCAAAAACTCTTTATTGACCATGTATAAAACACCAAGTTGTTTTTTTTTTTTTTTTTTTTTTTTTTTTTTTTTTTTTTTTTTTTTTTTTTTTTTNTTTTTTTTTTTTTTTTTTTTTTTTTTTTTTTTTAATTACATGACAAATGCATTCGAACTTGGTTAATAAACAATCACTGTTCAGTCTTACCTCACTAGCTTCATGATTGCCATTTTTTTGAGCACTGCAGTGTCGAGAGTTAACAGAAAAACGCCGACTCTTATATTATACCTAATATACGAACCTGATATTTATAATACACCAGAGGGATCCCTCAATCCCTCTCTCTCCCCAACAGCTGATTAAAGCATCATCTGTTGTCTGCTTTCGTGGATGATGAGTTGCAAAATCTTTTTCTTTTTTTTTCAAGATAAGTCAAATTTATTATCAAATTCATTCTAAATTTATCTTACTAATTGCATAATTTTTTCTACACTCGAGGTGGTTTTTTTCAGTTTGAACATCAACTTTATTTTAAACAATTATTAACAAAATTAATTTTCGAGATTTAATTAAAGTGACATTTGTAAAATGCAATAAAAGTTTCTATTAGTGTTGAACAAGCAAATTGTTAAAAAAAAAAAAAATTTGTCAGTTGCGAAGAAAAGTTTTTTTTTTTTTTTTATTTCACCTAGAGTTAACAGAAAGGTTCTTTAAAATATGCAAATTATGTAAAGTCGGGTGCAATTGTCAATTGAAATTATAACTCATGTTTATTTAAAAATTTTTTTTTCTTTTTTGTACACATTTAAAACAATTTGCTACATCAATACTGGGTGAAAGTATAAAAGTTGTATTCATTAAAAATTGAAATGAAAAATTAAACAGTTTAAGGTCTAGAAAATTTATCCATTTCCCACAGAGCTTCAGTAACTTGTTATTAATCATCCGAGTGCAATTACAAAGGCATTAATTCTACTTATACTCACTATTAATCGAGTTGTAATGAAACAAAATAATTATTTTATTTTTTATAAATTCTTTATTAATGACGTATGTATATTAAAATGGGATGATTTACAAGGTCACATGATAAATGATCAACAAAAAACGAAATATCATTCGCAAGCTTGCAAGGGGGGAAAAGAAAACAGAAAAATTGGGTAACCGTTGTGTGTATCTATAAAAAAGTGCACAGTAAGTGTGTGTATATATATATATGTATAAATTCTCTGTATGACAGCAACATGCACCACTTAATATACATAAATTCGATCAAATGCACGTACTAAAAAAAACCCCGGATATACGTGGAGTTTGACACTCCGCAAAAAATTTGTTGACCAAAGCAGTTGTTCTAAACGAAATGATGAACTTCCGAGAAATTGCGCTAATTTTTTTGTGGTCATTCTATTACGAAAAAAAAAAAAAACACTCCAAGAAACTCGGAAAGAAGGAATAAAAGTATTCAAGTACGCTCCACTTGTTGTAAAGTATACATGCAATAATCGCGCAACGATACAATATCGACTAAACACAGAACCAACCAACAATCAATCAGTTTACAATATATTCTTATATATACGTTTATTTCGAATCAGACCCGATGAATATTGGGGCAATCGTCGCGTGTTACCTCAATCACAGAGAGGAGTCCATGTAAGTACATCGTTTGGAAAAGAAAAAAAAAAAAAAAATAGATAATCGGCAGAGCGATCATCATTCATGTAATAGGTATATGTGTGATTGTCTGTATTGAAAACTAGCCCCTGATAACGGGCAAGTGGTCAAAGCTCTGCTGGTGCCGGAGCGACGAGCTTCGCGGTATGGCTTCGGTGTGGCCGTTCGCGTACCCACCACCAGCGGCCGCCTTCGGAAGCTGCGGCAGTACCATCTGCCCGAAATTGTTGGGCTGAAATCAATGTTCATCGAGTTAGGTATATATATTTATACACCTATTCGTATAGTTTTCGTGGCTATGTACAGGTACACTTACTCTCGATCGTTCCCGAAGGTTTCTCAGCTTTTCAAACTCCTCCATCTCTGCGTCGGGCATCTTGAAGTGGAAATTCTCAAAGTAGACGTGCTGCAGCAGCTGGTCGCACGCCCATCGCTTGTCCGGATCTTTGTCCAGGCACTTGTGCAGGAAATCCAGCTGCAAAACAATCGTCCCGGTGATACACATGCATATACAAAGTGTTGAAAATACTGGCTTTTTTTACGAACGATTCGAGCCGATCGACAATATTTTCACAAACAAACAGATTTGGACATGTCCACCTCTCTCAATTTTTCGGAAATATGTTTTTTTGGTAGAAACGCAATGCTTTATTTATACTTGGAAAATACATTTTCATCAAAAAAAAAAAAAAAAAAAAAGGCACTTAAACAATGGAAAATCGAAATGGGGATTTATTACTCTCCCAATTAAAAAATCGGTACTAAAAATTACCGATACAATGAACCATCAACCAATCATGTGTTGTAACTGCTTGAAAAGTAAGTAGCGCGTAAAATATATACCTGGAGCTTCGAGTTGGCCGTCTCGGGTAGCTGCGTCTCGAGAGGCGTGAGGGTCTGCGGGGCGGGCAGGGTAATGCCCGCAAAGAACTCGTTCTGCTGGAATATGGCCATGTGCCTGGGCAGCAGGTCACCCAGCGTCCTTCGTATCAAGTAGAGCTGGTCGACGTCCGACTTGCCCGGCCACAGGGCCTCGCCCCTTATGAGCTCCGCGTAAACGCAGCCGATCGCCCAGACGTCGACTGGTGTGCTGTACTGCGTGTCCCCCACCTTTGAAAAATCAATCAAACATGTACGTTATTTCAACTCGACGAGGTATTTTGCGCGGGAGGACTTACGAGGAGCTCGGGTGCCCGGTACCACCTGGTGGCCACGTACTCGGTGTAGTTCTCGCCGGGGCTGAGCATCCGCGCGAATCCAAAGTCACAGAGTTTGACGACATTGTCGGCGGTGAGCAGTATGTTTTCGGGCTTGACGTCCCGGTGCACGCAGCCGAGCCTGTGGCAGTAGGCCACACCCTGGAGTATCTGCCAGGTGAGCTGCTTCGTCATCAGCTCGGGACACCCGTGCGGGTATTTCTCCATCTCGTTGAGCAAAGTCCGCTCGCAGTACTCGAACACGAGGTGCAGCTTGCGCTTGCGCCTGAACACCTCGAGTAGGTTCACCAGGTTTGGGTGCTTTAAATTCTGGAGGAACCAACGTGTTTTTTTTTTGTTTTTTTTTGTTTTTAAGAGTATTTTCATTGGAGATGAAAATCTTGACCAGTGAAACAAAATGTTCATCCCAGTGTGGAAAAAACATATCACATGTGCCATAACTATAAGTATGTTTAACTTTTGTTTTTCGCGTGCATAACTCTACAAATCATCAATACTTTTTTTTTTTTTTTTTTTACTCTTGAAAGAAACCGTTTTTAAAATACTTTATTGTATATTTTTTTCTTTAACAATCGATTTTCCTCCCCAAGGATGTATACTTACACACAAGTGTAACATTACACGCGCACATAAGGATTCACATCGTCGTGGCGGAACAATAACAAGACCTGCCCTGCATTCGACCTTACACACGTGTATACGTTAATCCTCTTTTCCCTCCTTTTTTTTTTTTTACCGTCAGTCTAATGAGACCCTAATTTCAATTTCAAATCAGCTCTGGATTAGCAAAAAAAAAAAAAAAAAAAAAAAAAAGGATCGAAACAACATTCAAGTTGGCTCTACACGCATAATTATCATGTGCAAGGACGAAATCAACTCGTCTTTTTGATCCGCTCGGACGAAGGGGTCAGGTTCAAGATTCCATAACGCCGTTTGCGCGATCGATACAGGTACTCATTATTACTTACACCTGCAGCGACTCTATACCATATATAATAAGTATACGTTGTACACTTTCGACTCCCTGCTTGTTTTTTTTTTTTTTTTCCATAGGTAGGGTACACCTGTATGAATAGCAGCTCGGTGGACAGGCCGAATTTGCATGTAATTTCGTTCACGCGAACCAACCACTATTTATAGTCGGGATTCCTCTTTGGATTCCGAGCAAAGATCCTCCATGAGTTTACATCGATGCGATGTGTGTATATATATGCGGAAAAGTCGTAGTCGAGGGGCTGCACGCGAGGTACAGTGCCGGTTTTCCGATTTACTCGAAGGGGAAGTGACGAGAGCAAAACCGATCGCTGCCATCACTGATGTTGGTTTTCGAGTTCCAGTCCACGAGCGTGCGATACGCGGTAGGACGAGCTTCGTCGACGCACGCGATTTTCAATTTTCAAGCTTGGGCAAATTTTCTCGCTCGATTAACTACGAACGAGGGAAGAGATTTTTTTTTTTTGTGTGCTCTCGCTTTTGGACCTTGAGGGAAATATAATTTTGTGACCAATACCCCATGGGAAGGGGAATCGAGTGTAAATTTTACCATCACGTGGACCAAGGAACATTCGATCGTGGGTACAAACAGTTGAATATTTTCCAAAGCCTTCCCGTTGATTCCTCGATTTTTCCGCGATCGGACGCAAAAATGTAAAAAAGAGACAGATCTGTCGCGCAACTCCTCGCCAGAGATAGGGGGGGTTATTAAACCGGTAATAGCTGCTCGAGGGTGTAGGTACATCGGCGTAGTAATTCCGAGAGGAAAGAAGGAAAACACCTGCAACGCGGCCGTAAGAGTTACGAGCGGGCGATAAGGCGCACGCCAAGATATTGACCGCGCGTGTACATACATGTACCTGTACAGCTATAGATGTACGATATACCTATACTCGTTGTCGTATTGACCAGTGGCTATACTACTTTGGTATTGCATGTATGTACGGCTATATACGGAGGATCTTACATTTTCTCTTTTTTAAATTGCACATGAGTAATGTGCTCTAGGTGGGAGTACCAATTATAAAACCATTTCTGGTAAAACTATTATTTTAGTGCTTTTACTTAGTTTACTATTACTTTACTATTCGGTAAAATGCGTACACTTTTTGCAAGTTTGAATCAACACGAAAATTTTAAAGTATGACAATGGAGAGACGAGATATTGTTTCATTACTAGATATTATTAGAAACAATCATTGTGTCGTGCGAAAGAGTTAATATTGTACTATGTGATTGGTACTTGTTATTTTTATTTGCTCCAAAAGGTCCCTTTACCTCAAGCGTCATTGAAAAAAGAGTCGCGTGCACATGATTAATCGTTGATTTGTCCAAGGAAACATATCAGAGCGAAGCGAGTGGTTGGCGGGGACATTTCTTTGTTAGCTGCGACAATGGATTTACCCGAGGCTATTTGCGTTTTTAGATGATCGTAGAACGAGAAAGGGTTAAACGTATACTTGCTTTCTTTTGCGATAATTCACTGCACCTTTGACGCGTATCGAGGCCTACGACAAACGCAAAACAATGATTATCATCATGAATCACGAGAGCTATTTGGTATATATATATATCGTTATACTAATGAGATGGGGTGGTTTTAAAAACAAATAGATCGCCCAATCTCAGGTGAAAGTTGAACAATTCTCTATAGTGTATAGTACAATAATCCAAGCAAGGGCGTAAGTGACCAAGCCAAAGTGGCAGAAGCAGAGGAGGCAAGAACCCACCTGATGTATATACCTTTGTCCACGGGTCGTTGAACCCCTGATGCGAAGGAAGGAAACTTGGGGTCTGCTTGACCATTCCTCTCTCCCTCCTTCTCTCTACCTCCCTTCTCTTACCACTGGTGTGGGTGGTGTACTTTTATGTGTTATCCGTACTATTACTATGTGTAACTTTGATTCCCCAGAAGCAAGTATGAGTGTAATGTAACTTCTCCCCTTTCGTCACTACTATTCGGTTTTGCATATACATGTATACAGATTGCCAATACTCAATACATTATGCAGGTACAGTTCGAAAGCTTTGGGCTGAAATTAAGTTGCTACCGCAGAAGTTATCGTAAAATTACGACATGATTATTATCGCCCTGTGTGTACCTTTCTCGTGTTACGTATGTGGACAGTGAGCTAGGAGAGCTTAATTTTAAAACTATGAAAAATCAACGATTTTTAGAGTCACTGTAATGTTTTATGTCGCACCTACGTACGTACTAATTGTTTGCCTGCGAAAGAAAAAAAAAAAAAAAAAAAAAAAAAAAAAAAAAAAATACAATTCGATAAGTGGAACGCAGATAAATCGTTTGAAAGAAAAAAAGTAGAACGACAATTACGAACCATGACACGTTTATGTTTTACACTTTGGACAATGGTTGTATTTTTTTTTTTTTCTGTACGAAATACAAAAATCACGTTATATGTTTGCGTACGAGTATTTATACATGACGACGAGAAAATTGAGGATCGTTTATTTTCAATATTTATGTGCCTACAAATAAATTTTCATGCGTTTACGTGTTTTGAAATTATTGCTTATAGTCTAAAGGGGACAGTGAAACAGAATAAGAAGCAATTAAAGGTGAATGAAAAAGTGTTTGTAAAATAATTTTTTATGTTGTGCGAGAAAAAAAAGAAATACAACTAACCTCACTAGACGAGCCATTGCTACTCGATCGAGAAATCTGGACCCACTAAGCGGCGATTTTATCGCTGTACAATTTTTATACTCATAACAGCGAGGAAAAAAAAAAAAGAACTGCTACTTATCTGCAACGTAATTCTCATTGATTATGCGCTACGTGGCGGGCAACTCGTGAAAAAAAGGGAAAAAAAAAAAACCAACACCTAGAAACAACGTTGTTGTGGACGATTCGATCCTTCGAGATGTAGAAAACTTGACTGACTGATACAATTATACACGAGTTATCTCGGAACTTGATGGGATAAAAAAAAAAAAAAAATCTACACTTACGATCGTTTCCATGTCTCTGGCACATAAATATATAATCAATGCGCTAATCTCGGCATATTTAAATGCACATGTGTCACATAGACTTGATTACTGTTTTCATTTTACAGTGTTGGTAATAATGTTTGTATGAAAACTGCTGACTCGCCAGACATTTATTCCAATTAACGAAGAACATACATATACGCATGTATTGTTTTATGTACGAATTAACACTTTGTGCATGATTTTAAGGATAACATACATTATAGTTATGCATAGTGTTTACCTTTACTATATTTTTTTTTTTTCACCAAATCAATCTGCAGCTCATAGATTTTATTACATTTTTATTACATTTGTATTTACAAAAATTCATTACATATGTTGTATTGCAATAATAACAATTATTTATACTGCCTTATAACTCAGCGTACCACTAAAGTTTCTGGTATCACTTTATTTATGTACTTAAGTGCTTTTTACTTTAAGTAAAAAAAAAAAAAATTATCACCCTAAATCTTAATACCTAGACTCGTACGAAACTGCATATTCCTTTGAATAAATTTTTCCTTTTTTTTATGCAATCTTGATTTTATCACCTACTAATGTTTTTTTCAATTATCCATCAGGTCTTTTTGTTATCACAGAATTACAATACGTACAACACGAGTATTGATATCATCGAGAGGAAATTAATGAATTACACAGATTATAAAAACATTAGCCAATGTTTTGGCATTGGTGTATTTATTGTAATTATTCACAAATGGATCATTGAATATTTTTCCAATGAATTCCTCTAATGAATAACAAACCAAACTAAAGAAGAATAGAGTTCGTTTTTGATTTTGTAATATAATTTTGGTGACTCAATAATAAACTTATTAAAGAGTCATCGAAAATCTAATCGTAAACAGTTGTTGTCGTGATTATTAACGATGTCACAAAGATATATTATTGTTTAATTTGCAATGAGTACAATTTATGACAAGTAAATACATATATTTTACCGATCTTCGGAGTAAAAATCAAACTATAAAATATATTTAAATATACACACAAACACTTGTACATGTAAAAAGCTATGCTAAGAAGAATCTTGTTAATCGTTGAACGGATACTCGGGATGGTTTTCAATGCTGAAAGAGAAAGAAAGGAAGGAAGAAGAAAAATTAAAGTTGTACAATCACACAACAATATCAGAGCCAATAAATAAACCATACATATAACGATTAACAATGTAATTTACCCCTTATGGAACTTGTAGTCAAACACCTTGCCCTCGTTCCCCCTGTCGAGCCCATCGAGCTCTTTCATGTCCTCCTCTGTCAATTCAAAATCAGCGACGCCCAAATTCGCCATGACATTCTCGATCTTTTTGCTCGAAGGTATGACCACAGCACCGCCTTGCACGGTATGCCGAAGCAGCACCTGTGCCACACTCTTGTTACAGCTCTCGGCTATTTTCCGGACCAACGGAAGCTCAAACGGATCAGAAATATTATTTCGCTCCGGGTGAAAATGCTTACTCGCCCCGGGTGATCCTAGCGGGGCGTAAGCCGTTACCATTATATCGTGCCTCTTGCAGAAATCCCGCAGAGCTTTTTGCTGGTGGTACAGGTGTACTTCGATCTGAAATTGTGGTACACGTGATTACGATGAATCCATGTAATTATCGCGTTAATCATCGTGCTAATGTGCAACTCATTAAAATTGCGCGATTCATGGAGAAGAGGGTAATATATAAGAGGAAAAATATGTATCTTAGCATGGAGGCCGGTAATCTACTTTTAATGGTCGGGAAATGAGAACAAACGTGCGTGAATATTCAATAATTTGTACATGAAGATACCGTACCTGCAGGTTGCTTGGTTTGATGCTGGCTGTTTTTAAAATCTTCGATATTTGTGTCTCGTTGAAATTACTGAGCCCGATGGACTTGACTAGTCCTGCCTGTACTTGTGTTTCCATTGCCTGCGTGTTTTTTTTTTTTTTTTTTTTTTTTTTTTTTTTTTTTTTTTTNTTTTTTTTTTTTTTTTAGCACAAATGCGTTCACGAAAAATGTAACACTTTGATGTGAGAGAAGCGACGACTCTATTGGCTTTTCACGTTAATTTTTTTTTTTTTTTTTTTTTTTACTCTTTGGTAAGCAATATTGAATAGCCAATAAACTCACTTGCAAATTGCTGGGCTTGATTTCCGCGATTTCGAGGATGTTTAGGATCTGAGTCACGTTAAAGTTGCTCAGACCGATGGACTTTGTTCGGCCAGCTTTCACTTGAGCCTCCATTGCCTGACGCGTTTCAGAGTTTCAGTATTTATAGATCAAATTTTTTTTATTTTTATTTTATTTTTTTAATGTATCGCTGTGGTATTACAGGATAATAACATATATTATGTGAAATAACAAGGCCTTAAACTTGAAAATGACAATGAAGTTGTTGACAAAATAATTAGTAAAAAAATGAAGTTTGCTGTTCTGAAAAACATTGCGTTATTTCGTATGAAAATAAACGTGTGGGTAGAAAATACATCGTATGGTAGGGCAAAGTCCAGTATACCTTCCATGTGGAGACGTGATCGGTATCGTAATCCATTTTAAGCCCACCGTTCGGCTCCATTGCAGGAGCTAAGCTGTCTTTGTCCTTAACCATGCCGATCGGTACGTGGATCAAGAACATGTCGACGTAGTCCAAGCCCAAATTTGCCAAAGAAGCCTTGAGATACGTCTCTACGTCGGCTGCCCGGTTACCCTGGGGTGGCAACTAAAAGAGAGGAAAAAAAAAAAATTACAAGTTGCTAAGATTGTGCTAAATAGTGTTGTCGATTTTTCCCTATTTCCGTAGTTTTTGATGCGGTCCGAAAGTTTTACTCGACCACGCATTGACTTGAACCGTCAGTTTTAAAAGTTCAAAGGGTATTTTCTTCATTTTCCAACACTACAGTTTTTGTCCTGATTTTTTATTTTTCCCTCCAATGAAATCAAACGAATTACACCGTTGCATCTTTCTTTTTCAAATTACCAAGAAAACCACAAACATAAGGTACTCAGCAGTACATGTATGTAAAAGCGATCTCACCTTGGTAGTGACAAACAGATCCTCGCGTTTGTTTCCTTTGTCGAACCACTTTTTCAAAGCTCGGCCGATCGCTTCCTCGTTCTCGTAGATAAAGGCGGTATCAATGTGCCTGTATCCGCTTTCAAGCGCAGTCGTTACAGCCGCGTCCACGTCCTCCGGCTTAATCTGATAGGGAAAAAAAAAAAAATCGCAAAGTTGAAGGAGAAAAAAAAAAAAAAAAAAAAAAAAAATTACATCCTCGAACGAGCGTACGGATTGCACAAAATTGCGCGCTCTCGCGTCTTGATTCATCGGGCCGTAAAATAGCGTTTTACTCGACAGCGTTCGTAGAATCCTTGCTTTCGAAATTCGAGAAAAATATTCATACGCGAGTTACCCAATTTCAATAATCATGTCTAACACAAATATACGCTCGTTTCGTGTTGTCGATGGCTCGATTCGATAAGCCGATAAATCATCGTGAATCACGCCACTGCAACTTATCCTTTTTTTTTTTTTTTTTTTTTTTAACGTTCCTACGTTGGCGCGCATAGTCGGAGAGTGAAAAAAGAAAAGAAAACGTAAATTATACGGGTGCGAATGTAACAATATCGACCCACCTGCCAGGTGCCAAGTCCGATGACGGGGATGTCACGGCCCGAGGCCAGTTTGATGGTACTCTGGACGGCCGACGCACTTGAGCAGATCAAGGCCACGGCCAGGCAGCCGTAGATGCAGGATTCCCTGTGTACGTATATTAAGTATGTTGTAATTATACATTCTCTCTTTCTTCCGATCGGACATTACGTGGTAAATAATGGATATCTCGACGGTTCGCAGGAGATGCGTGTATGTGGGTACAAGCTTGGCTAAGTTGTACATTATATATAACCGGCCTTGGGAAAACTTGATTTACAAAGAAATTGTACGCGGCAGTGGATAATTTTCCGATTTCAATTCTTTTTTTTTTTTTTTTTTTTCGTACGTTTCAATTGGTATATGGTGTGTATAGAGGTCGGATGTTTGACACACTTTTTGAAAGTACTTTTGCAGTTGTGTAATTTTATTTCGTAAGCAAAAAAAAAAAAAAAAAAAAAAAAAAAAGGAAAAAAAGGATTGAGCAACGCACCTTGAGCAGCCTGATTTCCCTGAGGGCGATCTTCCTGATGAGCGGGTCGTCCTCGGTTTGCTGGAATTTTTTGACAGCGACGAGCCGACCGGTTTGCCGATCCCTGCACTGGAAGACGACCCCGTAGCTGCCCTCGCCGAGCCGGCCCAGCCGCTCGTACCGCTCCATCGCTTTGCTCGGCGCCCTCGACCTGCACCCACAACGCGTTCATATTCATTCATTTAATGATTTATTTTTCTCATAGTCCATCGGTACGGTGTGTTCCGTAAGTGGGATCTATATCGGTATGTGTGCATATCGTAGGGGCGCGGTTACAAAACTTTTGCATCAACGAACCCAAACAAAAATATCCAAAACCACCACAACACCAAGCGAGAATGAATGTACAAAAAACCTGGTGGAAAAAAATGAAGGTGTCGAGTCCAGCACGCGTATTTTATATATATACGTACTTTCGATACCTCGCCAGGCACGGCAAGTTGAGCTGCTGCGTGAAGAGCATATTCTTTTTTTTCTCTCTCTCTGTGCTCCCCGTGCGGTGGCTAAGAGCCAAACTGACCATACCTCGCCATTGACCACGGGTCAAGCTCCCCTCGGCACGGCTCTACGTGTATTACCTAACGTGCACAAACACACAGCTGCACTCTTATACTTGCTTCACCCCCCGCTCTTTCTCTCGCGTTTCTCCCCGAGGAACATATTACACATTACTTATGTAGTAGTAGCCACTCTGGCTGACCAGTGGCTTGGGTTTTCATCCCCCACTGGCGCAGGCGCGCCTTATTCTTACTCTTGGATCTTTGTTGTATACTACATACCCCCGCAAGTACAACATTTAGGTGTACATACGTATGTACTCGCTAAATACGTCACGAGCGAACGAATGGTGATGGTCTTTCCGCTGTACTGTTTCTCGATTATGGGCAATGTTGTTGGCTCCGGGGTAAGGGTTGGGGATGTCGGCTCGTTAAGATTTCATCGGGTGATATTTGATTTCGACGATGCTTTTTTTTTTTTTTTTCCTTCAATCATAGCTACGTAGTTTATTAAGACTCGATTCCAATAGCGTTGCAGTCACTTTGTCTTATTTCTTGGAGGGTGTACAGAAAAGTCTACTGTTGCTATTACGTCTCAAGGCCATTATACCTATACAACTCCATCAACGAGTGTGTACAGGAAATACCTAGTGTAGCTCACTGACGATACTTTCCTTTTTTTTTTTTTTCCTCAATAAATTGATTTGAGGTGTACTATACTTGAGTTGCATTTTTCACGATACATTTTTATTTAAAAAAAACCTAGGATATGTTGTTTCACATCAATTAAGGAGTGAATCTTGTCGTTATTTCTTTTTCTTTTTTCATCTAAGTATTTCACACTGGGAAATTCGTACCGATTTTTTTTTAATTTGAAAAAAAAAAAAAAAAAAATAGAAAAACTGAACGACTAGTCGATGTAACCTACCAAATCGGAGTGGACTCCCTGTAATTTGCATATCTCAAATCGTTGACCATTTTATTGTCCACGAAACTCGTAATTTGCGATCCATCGGAAAAATCACCGTAACGCGTAATTTTGCAATTAGACCCGCTTGATTGAATTTTCCAACGAAAGGTTATACGCGCGTCGCGAGGACCGAACGAACCGAAACTAACTTCAGATAAGTGCATATTTCATAAATCACCTGTTGCGATGCTGACACGTGCAGTCCCTGGGCACTATTTTTCCAAACACACTAAGAGAAATTTTTTTTTCTTCCCCACTATATTTAACTCTTTTTTTTTTTCCTCCAAATTGTAAAAAATTGATGAGGCATCCGTGCTCAAGCCTGGCTACTTTTTTGTTTTCAGTAAACTGCAACTCGATTCAATAGTAAATATACACGTATATTTACAAAGCAATGACGGGGGAGGAAAAAAAAAAAAAAGATGAAATCTTAATTTCGTGAATCTCGTGCGTGGCTGTAAAGCAAGGCGTGAATAAACAATGAAAGTGCTCGCGCGTACTGTAAAAAATTTACCCAATGACTCTGAACGTCATCTCTTCGTTGGAGCAACAGTCCATGCTCGAACCCATTCAAATGGCGAATATCAGCGCTTTGCACTCGCTAACAACTCTTAATTTGACGCGCATCATTATTAGTTTCAGACTCGATGCAAAACACTTTTCGGTAAAGCTTCCAACTCACTCGTTCGTTTGCACTTTTTAACGAATCATCGATTCGATCGGCAATACATCCCCAAGCACATAGAAAAAACACAATTAAAAACGACACCAAAGTACAAGGGGGTGGGGGGGAAAAAAAAAAGAAAAAAAAAAGGAAAATTTCACATGAGCACAAACGACAGGTGCAATATATAATAACACTACTGGCTGAATGTTGCTTCGCTGCTGATATACGTACAGATACTTCAAAATGATATCCATCGAGCCAAGTCCTCTTTCAAGTTTTGTCATCGGCGCGAACCTCGCCGGCGCGCACACCGAGCCCTACTACTTACTTGCCGATCCACGCGCGCTATACCGTCCCTCTATCCGCTATACATACATATATACATAGCCTTATAATTGACGCACGCGTGAGTTTTCGTCCGAACATATATATCCACGATACATTACAATACGCGGTATACATACCTACCCCCCCCCCGCAACCGTACGCGTACAGAGTCTATAGGCCCTGCCTTGATTATATATTGACAATCGATGTGGCCACGTTAGCTTTTCGGTCCGTTCAATTATGGGTGTGCTTGCCCTAACCGTGTGTATAAGCTGTCGTGTACGACCGGAAAGAGGAAAAGCTCCGCGAAGGACACATTGTAGCGCGATGCTTGGGGATTGTCGGTGACCTTTTGTTTGACTATCCGTTGAAGTGATGAAGAAAGGCCATCTCAAGAATCACCCAACGGTGGTGAAAAAGTTTGAGCTGTGCGAACCGATAAAGTACGATGGATCACGGCACAAAAAATACACGGGTACTGACAAATCGAGCGATGCAACGTACGAAGCTAAGATCGTTATCGGCGATTCGTGAGCGTCACCACTTAAATCGATCGGATTTTTTTTTTTTTGCACGGTTGTAGGTGCGAGTTACATCGTGTGAAAATACAGCAATCAACTCGAGCCGACACTTTGTAATATTAACAATGGCGGCGTGGATGGGGGAAAAAAAAGAGATAAACAGAAACAAAAAGTAAGACTCGACGTAATAAATATGTAGTGGAGGAGCGCGGGAATGTCCGTAAGTTACTTGGCCGGGATCGATTTGAGCGACGGTCGCGATTCGCCGATGTCAAAGCCACGCGGCTCTGATATACGCTCCTCCTTCCGGTACTTAATTATTCAGCTCGAAAAAAGGAGTACATGTGAGCCCGTTCCCCGTTTTCGTAAACGCGCATCTGTTTCCCGTTGCTGTACGTATGGGAAAAAATATTGCAAAAAGCCATACGTTTTTCTAAACAAACCGTTCAATTGTTCACGCAAATTATAAAAGTACACTCTCACTAGCGGCAGAAAATATTATTCCTCGCACTTTTATCGTATCCCTCGTTGTTGCGCGGTTCAGCGTTCATCGACCTACGTGTTTTCTCGTCCACGGTATATCATGTATACGTATATGTATCCACGACACCTCGTATACTCTCGCGAGTGTGTTATACCGTGTACGTGTCTAATGGAATAATAAATATTGTGGCTGGGAAAGGGGCTCGTTCGGGCCAACGACAAGGCCGAATGAACGCTCCATGTGAAAACAAAATTAAGTTGGTGCGACACTTGAAACTCTTGTACCTATACAGGGGCGGGGACAACGTCTACCCCCTCGTACATCATACAAGCTGTACAAGTTGCTGAAAAAGCTGTTTGATCGGAAGTGTTATTTTTCGCTGGTTACTTCCACGTGGTTGGAATGATGTTTCCTTTTCTTTGCTTCCAAGGGTTGAATATTAATCAAAGTAATTGCGATACTATTGCAACGATTGATATAAAAATAGAAAGAAAAAAAATCGATTTTTCGTCGATAAAGACTATGTGAAATATTCAAAAGCTCGTTGAAACGGAAAATAATTATGAAAAATCGTGCTTCGACGATATGATGCTTCAAGGGCGTGTGTATGAAAATTGGAAAGTTCACCTCTTGAATTATTGAAACGGTATCTACCCCAAAAATTTTCGTATCGCACCCCCTTGAACCAAATCCCTAATGAACGGCGTCCTGAATTATTCATCTCAATTTTTCACGCTATCGTGCCACCAAATGAAAAGACCTGAAAGCTCTTTTGCACCGACTCGGAGTGGTAGTGGGGCTGGTGTTACAACAACAGCAAAATTATCGCTTCAATTTCCGCTCCCCCCCACCGTCCCGATCTCCGACTGTACCCGAGATCGCGGATCGGCCGCAATTACGTGTATCTATGCGTCTATCGGGAGCCTCGCGTGACTTTAGAATCGGGTGGAAAGCGCTGTTGCACCTTCGTGTTTGTACGAAGGTCGAGTTCCATCCACGTGTACAGTGCAACTGTACAGGCTTGCTACGAAACGCGCGCGAAAATTTTCAAACACGCGAGCTTTTCGCGTTTTCGAACTGAAATAACAGTTCACGAATAACTTTTCTTCACTTGGCAAAATTTTCATTTTCCAAAGGGTATTTTTTTATACTCGGTTTGAAAATTTCTATTCTCAGAAGCTCCAACTTTTCTGTCATTTTTCGTTTAATTTTTCTCAACAGGCTAACAAAAAATTTAGGAATAAGTCGTTTTGTAGATATTAAAAAATATCTACAAATTGAGCTCAAAAGTTTACCAACAGACTCACCACTTCACATATATTTATAGCTCCAAAGTATTGAGGTGTTTTTAGTGGCATAAAAATAGTAATTAATTAAAAATAAACATATTTCCAATTTTTCGCAACGCGCGACCAAACTAATGAACTTTTAAACTTCCTTAAACCGGTCATTTTTATACACTACTTTTGTTTGTTTTAGCGATTATCGTGAAAAGCGTGAAATCGTTTATAAATATTTTTTATTTTTTTTTTATTTCGATGGGTAAGTGTTGCAAAATAGCAAATTATACGTTAATAGTTTGAGAAACAACCTTGTACCACTTTTTATTCCTCATTCTCCGTTTTCCAAAGATGACAGCTGTAATTTATGCAGTAGAATGTATTTCAACACATACGTATATATATATACGTTGGTTACTCAATAAAACAACAGTTATATATCTAGGTTTTGAGGTTTTACCGCTTATCTATTCCTAAACATGTATGGAGGCTAAATTCACTCAGTGAGGTTCATAATTTTTTTTATTAATAAATACACACTTCCAGTATAGATATACATCAGTGACGTATATGTACCTTGTGTACTTTACACATCAGAAAAATCGCACGATTCACCAATCAGTCGATAAACCACATCGATACTCGTAGCGATGGAACAAAAAAAAAAAAACAAAACAAAAAATATATACCCTATGAATAAAAATCTGACCCCCCGTTTGTTTACATCATCGAGAAAATCGAGTTGACAATTGACATGAAATTTTTTCCGTCGAAACGAATCAAAGAAGAAGCAATACGGAGCCGTTGGGTATATTTCAGGACACTTTGCCGAAAAATCTCGAAACAAAGTAATCCAGCGATGTCAAGCGAAACAACAGGTACGGGTAACCTACCCAACATATAGCACACGTATGCATGCAATAAAACGAAAAGTGCCTCACTCGTGCAATACAGTGTAGTCACTCTGAATCGAAAATACACACGCACACGCACACACACACACACACACACACACACACAAGTGAATATTAGGTAGGTATATGTATAACCTCTCGCTCGATCCCAACTCGTCGAAGCTCGAGGCGCGCGACCTCCTCGCGCTGTCATCGGCCCCATCGGCTGCTCTGTCGTCCTCAAACTTTTTCGCCCCCGCGCGAATACAAAACAGCCGATACATGGTCTCTACTTGCACACGTATCACACCTATGTATGCGTATCTCTTTGGAGAGATAATGTCCTCCCTACGCGTGTATACGTGTGTAAACGTAGACAGGGTTGCACATGCATACAAAGTACGATGGTCCTACCTCCTGGGCAACAACGGCAAGGTGCTACCACAGAGCCAAAGCTTCCTCTCCTGGAGCCATTTGTCCATCAGAGGTGTACCATCTAACTCCGCCGGATCTCTTGCTCCTCTTCTTCTTCTGCAGCTTCCCTTCTCGGCGCTACGTTTGATCCTTCGATTGGAAATATCGTCGTCCGCGTCATCGTTATCCTTCCCAACTTTGGTTTTCCGTTCGGCGACAAACACCCGCACGTCTCGTCGTCGCCGCGGCCCGACATATTATGCTCTTTTTCATACGTTAATGTACTTGTACAGTTTGCTGCGCGACACGACTCCTCTTTGGCATTTGAGGCTGCTGCCTACAGTACGTTTGTACTTTTTGTTGGGGAATAATATATACATCCATACGTATACACACATGCGCGAGAACGCGAAGAGTTCGATGCAGGGAGAGATGTGGTCGGTCGATCAATGGGGGTATCCGTGTAGGTGTATACTTACTCGCCCGACGACCCGCCACCTGTCTCCGATGACTGTGTGTATACATGGAATTGCTGCTACGTGACTTTTTTTTTTTTTTTTTTTCTTTCACGTGGGAAGTTTTGGCACGAAGTAAATTCCAAAGTAGGAATGAAGATTGATGTATCTTGGTCAATCGATTTTTTTGCGATACTCGATTGGGCTGGAATGAAGACAAACACGTGGACGATATGTTTTATAACAATAAGTAATTTGATGTACTTTATTTTTTTTATTTTTCGCATACAATATGATAATCGCATCAGCATTATGGGTCTGTTGCTTTTGTTTGACGCTTGGTTCTCCAGTACACATATACAAAAAGCAGTGGAGGACGGAATCGTGTTGTACATATATTATATAATGTCGACTTTCGATCGGTCGACGACAAATATCAATATACATATCATATAATGGTAAGTATACCCGTACGCGTATACGAACAGCATTTCTGGCGCTGCTCTTACAGATTACACAACAATACATGTCGGTCGAACGTGTTTTTTTTTTTTTTTTTTTTTTTTTTTCCCCCTGCAAAAATTATAATTTCTCCACGCTCGGCAGCAGCGATACATATATATATATAAGTAACAATGTTCAAATTTGTGCTACACTTTTATTCGTTACTTGGACTGTTTATTTTGTTTTATTTTGTTAAAAATAGAGCACAATGACAGTCGCATGTAATATCATACGCAAGTGCTTCGAAGCGTGTGTAATTACATAAATATAACAAGTTTTTTCTTCTCTTTCTCATTTTGAGTTGCGACAATGGCGTTGGCAGTTTTTTTTTTTTTTTGAACATCCACAAGTTAGATAGACGCGTTCGAAGCGAAGAACAATAATTTTAATGGAGCGTACGTGGTACAAATGAAGGAGACGGACGAGATACAGGCTACAAGGTTGTTCAGACGCTCTTGGTGTGGCGCTGAATCGTCGTCGAGCCGGTCGTTGGGGTCCTCGGTTTGTCGGTGTCCGTCGTCTCGCCGCGCACCGTAAACGTGACGAAATATCTCTTCGTGTGGTCTATCCTTTCGGAGGGAAGTGCTATCACTTGCTTCTCATTGCCGTGCGTCACTTCCACCTTTAAAGCCATCGTTTAGGTACATTAATACACTTTTGCAGAGACGAAACGAAGGGAAAGGAAAAAATAAGTAGTACAAGGCAATGATATGGTCAGACAATTTACCGTCATCTGTCCCTTGCCGCGTCCCTCGATCTTCGGAAAAAGACTCGGTCTTTCTTGGACACCTCCACCTACTGCAATTATAGTCTAGAATCAAACATTGCAATCCATTTCTTTCCAACAGCTATAGACACGTATACCTAACTATCAGCATGTATGGATTGATATATGTATGGTATATGGGTACAGTGGGCCAGTATTTATGTTATTTGTACAACAAATGTGTATTTGTGGTATCAGCAGAGAGAAGTATATCAGATTCAGGCGTATATATATATGTGTGGGGGCAAACTCACGATACGTGTAGATTGGAACCGAGGTGTAGGCACTTGTTGCGTGATGACAGCGGTGTGTCTTTTGCGTGCAATGTTTGGCCTCGGTGCACCAGTCCGGGGTCGACGGCCGCCTTTGCAGTTTGCGCAGCTGCTCGTACAAAAATATCTCAAAATGCCTACGGGTTATTTATTTATTTATTTGAACCTTCGATATTAATGTTACGTATGTGTATATAGGTTTAAACATTACCTGAAAGTGTAAGGTCTGTCGTACTTCGCGATGCCAATGACGGGTCCGCTCATGCCCGATTTGTTGAATGCTTCAACCTGAAATTTCGAGTCAAATTTTGATTATTGCTGCTGTTGTAAAAATTGGCTTTTATTCCAAAGAAAAACGAGCGAGTAATATCCAGCGTTGATAACGTAGGAAACGTAACGTACCAATATGGTATACCGTACGTAGTACATAAGAGTGATCAATAAAATGTTTGAATCCAAAGGTTGGACAATTCGTTTGTTAAATGACACAGGACACGATTGTTACAATCAGAAAATGTTTTTGCACAATTGCGTCCACGTTTAATAATAAATCAAAATCGCTGATGAGTTTATAAATAAAAGACCAAATTGATAAAACATTTTACAAATTTATCGTAGCCCTTTTTTTTTGCATTTAATTTAGAACGAAAGAGGTCAATGTTCAATATTGTGATTCAATAATCACTGGAAAAAAAGAATGAAATTTCCCTCCATTTTGAGGGGGAAAAAAAAAAGACCAACCAATCTCTTGACGAGGACTTGCTCGTTGGCTCGGCCCTGCCTGATCTGCAGCCTCTTGAGCTCCATCAGCTGGAAGAATATCTTGCGCTCGAGGTGGTAACGCCTCAGGCTGATCTGCACGTCGCGCGTCACCGTTTCCATGTGCAGGGCCCGCTGGCGCTCGCTGTTGGGGCAACACTTGACGGTCCGCCTTGGGATCCGCGATACCCGGGGACTCGGCTCGATACCACTGTCACGGCCACCGCTGTCCCGGCGCATTCGGCCCACTGGGTCCACCGGACTCGTCAGCCGCACCAAACGCGAGTGCGACTTTGTTTGCAACTGCGACAAGGAGGGAGCAAATTTCTATAATATAGTCCCACATACGTACATATAAATTTGTATGCTGTTATTGATACCAACCTGTGGAAGCGAATCAACGGTGGAAGTCCTCGTGCCCGTCTCCTGCTCGCTGGTGCTGGGCAGCACCCTGACGATCCCCACGTCGTCTTCCTCCCCTGCCAGGCCGTCGCTACCATCCTCCTCCTCCTCCTCCTCGTCGTGCTCCCCGATACCCCCGACGGCCTTTCTGATCTCCTTGTCGAGCTCCTCGTCCTCGTCCCATTCGGGACTCTCGATCACCGCTACGATGGCACTTCGATCGGGCGAGCGATCCTCCGAGCTCTCGAGCAGGGATGGCTTGTTGTTGCCCGCGCTACCACGGCGTTGTGCCGTCGACGGTCTCGAGCCGCGCTGTGGCTGATGGTGGTGACGCGACGCGTTGGCCCTCGGCGAGCTCGACGAGCTGTCGTCCTCGAAGCGAGGACCATCCGTACCTACAAGGGAGGACAGTCGCTGCAGAGCTATCCCTTCCGTCTTTGCTCGTACAATATTTGCGTGCGTGTTTTTTTTATTTTTTATTTTTTATTTTTGTTGCCCTTTAGGTTCATTAAGAACCGCTATAGTTTGTTAGTGCCCACGCGAGCTATACCTATACGCAATGATCTCTCGCTTTGGAAATAGCTGTACAAGTCTACAGGTAAATATATGGAAACAAAAAAGGTGCACGAGCAATGCTGATGCGACGTTGTATTAGGTATATATATATATACTGCACGTCTATCTCTATACTATATAGGTAGTGTATATGGGTGTGTGAATGTACATGTGACGAAAATACTCTGTGTAGATCGTTGTAGATAGAAAGGATATATTGTATAATATACTAATCATTTGTCATCCTTAAGCCGTGATTCGGACTGTCGCTTGTCGCATCGGTAGTCTTTATACTGCAAAAGAATTCACATATCTCTGCTACTTTATGATTTTTTTTTTTTTTCAATACATTTTTGTTTATTATTGATCGCTAAGACTAACACTATGTACCTACATGTATTTACATCTCGTCTAAGCAAGCAGATGGTTATCATTGCTAGCGCTACGTGTATATGTATGTATATTACATCATTGTAAGATCCTACGTTGCAGCGTATCTAACAAAAAAAAAAAAAAAAAAAAAAAATAGAAAAACTGAACGTTTTCAGCAAAGATCGTCAAGTCTACTGCAATGAATAAAGAAAAAAGGTAAACATATAAGCTGGCTTTTAGATAGTGGTTGCACAAATNAGAGTAAAAAAAAAAAAAAAAAAAAAAAAAAAATCGCGTCGTGTCTCCCTTTCTAACCTGGAACGTGGACCTCGGTCGCGCCACCCTGATGTCCTCCTTCGCCTGGATCTTCTGGCACGTCCTTATGTGCCTTAGATCCTCCACTATCGTCCTTTTGAGGCGTCACCGACTCGTCCCTCTCCCCAGCCTCAACGTCCTGCTTTTTCTCCGTTGACTCGGTTTCCTTTCTCGTCTCCTCGACAGGACTCTTGTTGCCCGAGTCTCGATCCTCGTCCCCCTCGACTCTGGCACGCTCCGGCGTCTTTTCCGGGCTCCCAGGGTCCTCAGTTTTCGACTCGTTCTTCTTCGGACCGTCAATCACCACCTGCTCGTCGGGTGTTTTCTCTGCCACCGCCGGTTCGTCGCTCCTCGCGCTCGACTCCCCGGACTCCGTGGCGCTCGGCTCCTCCGACTTTTGGGACAACTGCTGGCGCATCTCCTCGACGTCCTTCTTGAGATCCGCGGCCCTGGAGAGCAGGAAGCTCTGCAGCTCGTCCGCCTTCTCCAGTATGCCGTCCATCTTGCTCCTCATGTGTAGCTGCTCGTCGGTCCCGGGCTCGGCCTCCCTGTCGCCAGCCGAGCCCTTGCTCCTCGAGCTGTCGGGCGCCTCGTTCTTGTGCACGTCCGCCGTCACCGTCAACTGCTCCACCGTCTCCTGGCTCGTGCTGTCCCCGTCAAACACCTGCCCCGACGACTTTCTCCCCGATCGGCTCGTCACGGCTCCTCCCCCACCCTCCTCCGTTTTTCCCGCTGGCGTGGCGTCCTTCTTGGCCGTGGGGCCCTTGGGCTTCCTGCTGGCCCCCGTCACTATCTTCTCGGACGTTCTCTCGAGGGAGCGCTCCACCACCACCACCTCGAGGCTATCGTCGCTCACTGACGAACCGCTACTCCCCTCCTCCTCCCTCACGACTCCTTTCCTTCCGCTGCCTTGTTGGAACAACGACCCCTCTTAGTCTCGTGCGGCCGTTGTCGCCCACGGCACGACCTACCTGTTGCCTCTTCCTCGTTCCCCGCGTGGCCACCATCGCGCCTCGCCGTCTCGCTGAGGGCGCGTCTCTGGCGCTCGCTCTTCTTACCCGTGGCCGAGGACGCCTTGGAGTGGCGCGTGAGCTCCTCCTCGCTGAAGCTACGGCTGTCCCGGCGCGACGACACCCTGCGCCGGTTGGCCCGCCGGCGCGTCCTTCGCTCGGTCCACCGCTCCTCGTAACAATACAGCTCGGGATCATCGGGGTTACGGTGGCGGTGGTGGTGGTGGTGGTGGTCCCTCTGGCGATGGCGTCGGCGCCGCGGGCTGCTGTCGCTGAGCTCCGAGTCCGAGCTCGTCGTGTCCACCCGCTCCCCGCGCAGCCTCGTTGAAAACACTGAAACGACCATACCAAGCAGGACTCGTTATGCTTCTCTTGGAGAGAGAGAGAGAGAGAGAGGGAAGGGGGTTGGGCAACGCACCTCTGGTCGCCCCGGTGGCGTTGGCGTGCTGGGCGGTGACGCCGCCGTGGAGCTGGATGAGCTTGGCGCAGTCCCTGTGTCCCCTGTACAGGGCAGCGTCGAGGGCCGTCATGGCCCCGCCCTTGCTCGTTCTTAAGGTCGCGTTGATCCTCGCCCCGGTGTCCAGTAGTAGCTTGCACGCGTCGAGGTGTCCGTGAAGGGCGGCCACGTGAAGGGGCGTTTTCCCATCGGGCGTGGCCACGTCCAGGAGGCCGGGCCGACGCTTCGCCAGCCACTTGATGAGCTCGAGTCTGCCCGAGGCAACGGCCTCGTGGGCCACCCCGGTGCCCCGGATGGTGCGCGCGTGCAACGAGCCCCCGTGCTGGGCGAGGATCTTCAGCGTCTCCAGTTGGCCCTTGGCCGCCGCGCACAGGGCCGGCCTGTGGGTGCAAGTATACGTTTCAAGGATCACATAATAATAAATATATACATATATGTACACGTTGCCGTGGGTGATGTATAATGGAGTCACTCACGTCCGACCCTTGCGGTCCTGCCGGTTGGGATCGGCCCCGAGTTTCAGCAGCAGCGAGGTGGCGTCGGCGTGGCCGAGGGTCGCCGCGTAGTGGAGGGCCGAGCAGCCGTTGTCGTCTACCTGGTCCGGCTCGGCGTCGCACAGCGTCACGAGGGCCTCGATGCAGCGCGCGTGGCCCCGCGACGCCGCGCAGTGCAGGCCCGTCAGGCCGTCCTTGTCCGAGGCACCGGCCACCAAAGAGCCCCCTGCCCTGCACACAGACATATACGATCAATCGAAGGGTCATTGTTTTCATTTGCATTAATCACAATTATACCGCCGGTCGGTGAGACAAGGCCGGGGCACGGCTATACGGCCAGCTTGAATTTTAAGCGGCTTTACCCTGCACCGAATCGGTTTCCCAATACAAGTATGACCCGGTATGTATTAATTCCGATGCAACTAGGTGCAGAATTAGAATATCGATACAGGTTGTACAAGTGTCTCTCGACCCGATTCCACAATCCCCGCACGTTGTATACGTGTATACACAATTGGGCAAGGACGGCAGTCCGAATATGTTAATGGACGTGCGTATGGCCCACTTTCGCCAAACGAAGCACGAGAGGAATCACGAGGGTGGCTACAAAGTACATGCATGAATAACCCGTGAACGTGTGTAGCTCACCTGACGAGGGCCAGCACAGCCTCGACGCTTCCGGCGCTGGCGGCCCACAGTACCGGCTGCCGGCCATCCTCGTCCCTGGCGTTGACGTCCGCGCCGAACTCCAGGAGCGTCTGCAACACCTTGAGCCCGACTTTCCTCGGGACCGCGAGCTCGGCCGTGGCCGCAGAGCCGCAGCATTGAGCCGCGTAGTGCAGGGGAGAACCGCCCCGGAGATCCGGGCTCGAGGCTCGCGCCCCGGCTGCCAGCACCAGACGCGCGCACTCTACCTCACCGCACACTGTGTGTATACACGCGTACGATTAATTCAAGCTATTTACCTCTACACTCTACGATTTTGGGGAGCTGGTATCATTACAATTAATACTTCATAGCAGCATCATAATATAGAGTATATAGAATAACAGATCGGCAAAGGATTCTCAAAGGAACATCTTTCGGAAAAACAAGTGTATACACAATATTCATACACGACTATTTATGGATAGACATTTGTCTCGCTATTATATTTAATGAGCTTGTACATACGGAAACTCGAATCTGGGTTACCAAAGCATTGAAAAACGTGTTTGTCTATAGGTATGTATACATTACATTTTAAAGAAAACTCGCTCACCCGCTGTGGAAATGGCGCTCGTTATTTTAAATTGTTTCCCGTTGAGTAGGAAGAATGTGCATTTTAAAGCTCACCAGCCCCCGTGTACTATTACCGGGAAAACCGAGCTCGTTACACGTACCAAAATGTTATTTTTCTATTTGCGCTCATGGAAATACCGTGAAATGGCCTGTATGGAAAAAAAAAAAAAAAAAAAAAAAAAAAAACGAGTCCATCCATTTCAATTATCCGAAAAGGAGCCAGAGATGGAGCTGGAGAGGGTAGAGAAAGAAATCACTCGTAATCAGATGCGCGTAAACCCGAGCCGCGTTCGACGCTCCCGCGCACAATATATATCCTCTCGTGTTGCCTGGTACACTTCACGTGCCGTGTGCAGATTGCGTGAGCGGTATACACTTATGCACAGGTGGATGGATGTAACGTAGTACCGGCTCAAGTTGACCAACCATCTGGCGTCACTATGGGCTTTGCTTGACCCACTGACCCCAAACCCTCGGTATATCGGTATATGTCTATTGTATCGAGCTCTGCGCGCGTTCAAAAAAGGTCTGCGCCACTTATCAGGACGAAGGAGCGCCTGCTTTGACTGCCCGGTGGGCAAGCGACTCTACTGACCCATTCTCCGGCATGTACTTTTTCCTATGTGTATATCTTAAAAAAGAGGAGGAGGTAAGATCGCAGCTGGACGATAGAGGTCGATTGAGCGCGGTGCTCGTACCTATACGTATTTTAAACACCGAATGCCTGCGCCCATGTTAGTCGCGTTAGCCGGCCGTACGTCAGCCTTTCGTTATCCGCGGGAGGTATGTGTGTGTGTGTGTATAGGCATCCGTTTAAGCAAGCGTGCCCAACGGGGGTACAGAAATTATGCGCGATAACGACTCGAAGAGGCGGCGATTACTCTCGGTGCACAGCCGGGGCTTTCATATCTCGGATGGACTGGTTTGCAAGCGTGTGCGATGAGTTGTTTGGTCATGCCTTTTCTTTTTTTCGAGATTAGAATTTAAAGGGTTTGCGGTCTGGGAGAGGCGGGCCATTCGGGGCCGTGGGTCGGCCAAATCGATCTGGGTCACACTCATTGAACGATCATTTGTCACTTTTAATCGGCTTCTCTTTATTTTCGTTGGTAAGTAACGCAATACACAAGCACCTTTGTGTACCCAGACTCGCCGTTCGTGTCGAGGATCGTTAGAGAGATTTTAGATTATTGCCCGAATTGGATTATCTCTGTCACGCAAAGCTTATAATTTTTTTTTTTTTTTTTTTTTTTTTTTTAAAGATCGGAAAAAAACCATTTTTTCAATTTTACGGTAAAAAAGATTATTCTGCCCTGTATTATTCAGTGTGAATCCTGGGATGCACAACTTAAACCGACCCCCCTCAATGTTTGTCTCTTTTCAATTTTTACATGGGGAAAGAGAATTTTGTAATGAACTAATAGTAATCGGGACTTATTCTCACTGGCTAAGTTTTTCGAAATGTCTGACCGAACATTGACCTATACTGCTTAAAAATTAAAAATTCGTGCTTTGGACATGATGATCTTTATTCAACTATGTCAATAATTACAATGTTTGCATAAATAGTAATCAGGTGATTATTTCCAATAAATAAGTTTTTTTCGAAATGTCTGACCGAACATTGACCTATACTACTTAAACTGAAAAATTCGACCTATGTACATGCTTTTATACTCGACACGCTGGCTATGTCGATAGTTGTAATTTTTGTATAAATAATAATCGGATGCTTTTCCTCAATGGCTAGGTTTTCCACAACGTCTTACCGAACATTGACCTATACTACTTAACAATAAAAACTCGCCCGTTGGACACGATTTTTTTTTTTTTTTTTAATTTAATTATGTCGAGGGTTACAATGTTTGTGTATAAATAGTTAATCGGGTGCTTATTCCCCATGGCTCAGTTTTTGCGCAACGTCTTACCGAACATTGACCTATACTACTTAAAATTGAAAGTTCGGCCACTGGACATGATTTTATTACTCGACCATGTCGATGGTTGTAATGCTTGTATAAGTTGGACAAAGTTTTACGATTTTCATGGTACATTACATCGAGATCAGCTCCAAAAAAAAAACCTAACCGCTTACACCGCCAACAGCAGCAAAAGGAGCGGATGGTTGAAACAATCGATCCAACTTGTATATCTAACCCATAGTGATACAGCTATGTTATGTATGTGTAGAGACAGGCAGAGCAAAAGCAACAAGAACGACTCACCGGTAGCCCAGTGCAGGACGCTGTGTCCCTCGTGGTCCTTGGCATTGACGTCGGCTCCATTGGCCAATAGTACAGCGACGAGCTGATGATCACCGGCAATGACGGCCAGATGGAGGGGCGTGTGGCCCTCGGCGTCTGGCGAATTGACGAGTTCCGGCGCGGCTTGGGCCACCGCCCCGCCCGTCGCCGCGTCCATGCAGTAATGGAGGACGCTACGCAGCGCCCGGTCCCTGTACCCGATCGTCTCCTCCTGCTCGCGCAACAACTTCAACACGCGCCCCCGGTCCGCCTGCTGGCAGGCGTGCATCAGTGGCGTAGCACCTATCCCGAGTACCCTATCCCCGTAAGAGATTAAAATTTTTTTTTTTTTTGTTTTTTTTTTTTTTTACATCATGTTATTAATCGCAACTGATGATACACATGCAAAGAGCTAATCGAATGTTTGGGCTGTGAAAGAAAATCGGATGAAAAAGTAAATAGTTGGGAGTTGTCAAATAAATACTATACATCCCTCTCATTTTGTTTAATAAAGGGGGGAAGGGAAACAATTTGTAAAACAATGAAAAAAAAAAATGGAACACGCAAAAGGGGCACGTAATGTTTATCGTCTACCATCGACGCCGTCTAATTTAAATAGTACTCCTTACACGGTCGTAACATTCGTTTCCCCCTTCCGACCTTGACCGTAATTGTGATGCCGAAAAAGATATAATCGTCTCGATCCCCCCCTCAGATCCAACATTGAAGAAAAAAAAAAATAAATAAAAAATAAAGCAATAAAACAAGAAAAATGAGGCACACTGACTTGTACGGTCGGCGTTTTTGCGGTTCCTGCTTGCCCAGAGTACCGAGTGGCTGGGTTATGCCGTTGTTGTTGCGCCAACCGGGTGCTGCAGGATACTTGGCCCTCTGTCGCTTGGCTGTCGCGGCGAGTGGCGGCAGCGACACCTCCTCTTCCAACTGATTCTGTTGGTGTTTGAGTTTTGCCTGTTGCTGCTGATGGTGCTGATGTTGACAGCACCGTTCTTGGGTTCTCGGGACGATCGGCGGTGCCCTCGTGTCCATAACCGAGCTACCGCACCACGGCCCGGGACCGCTACAACCTCGGCCCCGCGGGACATCCCTGGGATATTGATTAATAGAAAAAAAAAAAAAAAAAAAAAAAAAAAAAAAAAAAAAAAACACACATTGATCACTTATAAAATATGACAACAGTATCGTCTCGCTTGGTATAATATTTTGTCGCGTGTACCTACCAATGACACGTGCCGTAGTAGTGCAGGGCCCAGCCCGGCGGTGGGCCTAATACGGCCACGACGGCCGGAGCGCATCCTCTGGCGGTCCTACGGAGCGGCTGGGCCCTCTTGTTTTTCCCGGTGCTCTTGGCCCAGGTGTGACCGTTGTTGCAACTGTTGGACCGTTCGTGGCAGCTACTCTGCAACTACGACTCGGCGAGCGGCGAGCTGGCCAGTGTTGGTGTCACCGCGAGCTGCTCGACGGTCGCTGATGGCGTGGTGGCGGTGCAAGCTGCTACAGCTGCGGGTGGCGACCCGCGCTTCCTTTGACCTGTTTTTTTTTTTAGATTTTATTGTTTGGCGTCTAAAATAATTCCCATGTGTAAGTTATACCTTAAATAAATAGGTGCGAGAGAGGTCAGATTTAGATAAGCCCCCCTCCCGCCCCAAAACGAGTTGGTTTCTTATCCGCATGAAATAACCGCGAGATTTCGGAGACGCCGTGAGCGTGAGTCACCTGCAGCTAGATACATATATTTACATGTATACGGGGCTAATCGCAGTGTGAATTCCCCTGCACGCACGAGCCACGATGTATGTATGTGTATGTGCACGAGGGGGTACTCCTGATACGTACATACAGGTGTATACACATACATGCAAAGTGGACGTTATTTCCCCGCGAAATTGAGTAAGGATATGGGATTGACCTTGAATTTTTAAAACCATACTCGCCGTCTCTGCGCTAATACGTGCATGTATATGTGTACACACATTTAGTACGGATCCTTCGCGAGCGTGCACGACACTGTACGTATATATACACAGAGATCGTACCTTAGATCGGCCAGAGCCTGCGTGTGTGCGCTCTGTTTTACGTGCCCCGGATTATCGCCTCTACCGATCGATGGTTTTTCGAATTTAATTAGCCTTTTATGCAGAACGTGCTTCTTATCTCGAATCCTCACTCTCTCTCGCTCTCTCTATTGCTTTTTTTTCGGTCAGAGTACACATTATTTTCGCATGATTTCGATACTCACGGTCGAGTTTGTTACGAAAAGATGTATAGTCATTTTTTTCATGTGTATACTTGTAGTGAATTTTTGTGGCATCTGGTAGCTTTTCGAAAAACTTTTTAAATCACACGTACGATCGTAAATCATAAATTCTCAACGAAATTTTTATCTTTTCGTGTTGAGAGAAAAATCGCTGTGTAATAAACATACGCGCCCACAACTTCCGCACTCTGACAGGCGCTCGGCATACTTTTTACCCTGCATCCACTTTGCACAAACTTTCAAAAAAAAAATGAAAAATGGCCCTCGTAAATCCATGCAAAAAGTCTCCTTGGGGTATATACGAAGGAATTCCAATAATGCGCGGTAGGAACATAAAAAATTTCGTCATCATACACGTACCTACGTAAGAACGGCTCATAACTACAACTCATATCGCTGTATCTCTGTATCGCGTGCACACGTGCGTGTAGTATACATATATACCACCAACAGAGCCGCGGCTTAACCACGTGGTCGTCACAGCATGATACGTATACGATACCTACTGTACTGACCAGGTCAGCCGGTGCCATGGAAACTCGACCAAGCACAACAATCGTCGTGGCTATACAACCTATGTCACGCATATACATATGTGTATACCTACACCAATATACACGACGTCCGGCTAAACGTCCTTGCACGGACACACGGCGCTTTGGTTCGTGTAAGAAATATGACGGCCGAACGACAAGGTCGTCATAAAACAAGCGTCACAGGGAGGGCCGACCGGACGCCGACTTATACTACTTGAGCGCGAGCTTCCGACAACAATCGCGAGGCCGGAAGTCTTTTACAGCTGCCGAGTTGGCTGTGATTTTCTTTTTTTTTTTTTTTTTACTTTACTCTTAACGTGGCTTTGATATCTTTCAATCATATTCATATAACATTGCAAACTGCATATAGGAATAAAAATGAAAAAGAAAAAAAAAAAAAATCGATTTCAAGGTAATTCAATCGTAACAAGAGCTTGGGACAATTGACCATGTAAAACGTTTTGTTTAACTTTCAATTTTAATTGTTTCTATACACAACTGGACTACGGTGATCATAACTGGGTTAATTCGTTATTTGTATACAAAATAGGTGTATGATGGATGCCCCATACTGGATCGACAACTCGATTTCCCAATCAACCGCACCGCTTGGTTTTCGATCGATCGTTTGACGAAACTTGTTTGTAAAAAATGCCCATTATCATCCAGAAGGAAACTCGAGCAGCAGATTAAAAAATTCACCGGAGACAACGATGAGTGTCTCTCCCCCTTCCTCGTCCCCTGCTCAATCGATTGCCCCACCCAAGTAAAAAATAAATTGAAAAAAATCGACGTATGGCGCCCCTGAGGAAAAAAATGTATAAGCTACGCTGCTCCACTTTACAGAGGGGCTTACATCACCACGAGTCTGCAAGGTATGGGCTTGGAGGAAAAGGAAAGGCCGCGTGCGTGCGAGCAAGGAGTCCTCGCGACAGGGGGTTGGAAAGAAAAACGAGCGGACGATTTTCGCGAGCGATTAAAAAAAAAAAAAAAAAAAAAGAGAGCCACGCGTTTACCTACTTGAAAGCCGTGCGTGTGTGTGCGGAATTGTGTTTGTTCCAAAGATCGAAGTTGAAGCGAGTGAGAGGGGGAGTGGAGAAAAAAAGGAGCAGCGTTGAGACATATACATATATATGGGGTGAGAAAAGGGGGCACATTATGCTTTAACGATTCGCACAAACTCTTAAATCGCGAGCCTTTGCAGGTATGCGCTTTTTGTGCTCCCTCGGCGTTGGTCTAGTTACGCCGGCACGTATAGGTACATACGTATATACGTGTACACACCAATGCAACGCGTGGGCTTGGATTTTCGCTGACGAGCAGCTCTCAAACGCGATAGCTCAGCCGGTGTGCCCATCACCTGTCACGCTAGTCTAGCCAGCCCTTATTTTCCCACCTTCCTCTTTTAGAGCGCGATCCGTGCCACCTTTGGCTCGTGTGTGTACGATAGAGATTTCGACCTTTTCTATAGACTTTTTTCCTTTTTTTTCATCTCACGAGTATAATGTGCTTTATTTGCTTACCCCGGCTTTAACTTATTGCTCCACATTTCCTTATTACACTGGACATTTTTGTGTTGGGCTTTAAAATTACTATTTTTACAATCTTTATTAGCTTTTTTTTCTAAAAATTTCTCTTTAGTACGATGAATTTACAATTTTTCTTACACTAAAAAATCAACCCTACCATACATACGAAGGTTTAAGACTTGTGTTACTTTTTGGAGTAGTTGATTGAAAAAAAAAAAAAATAAATAAATAAATAAATAAATGAAAGAAAAGAAAAAAAAAATACTTACGATTGAGGCTAACATTCCATTTCAACTTATAGTCCCAGTCAACATTAATATTGTCGTGGGATTGAAGCATATACGTAAATTACAGACAGACAGCTGATGAGCCCTAGAATGCAATTGTACTTTCATTCGTGTAAGTATTTCAAGATCGCGTTGGCTATATATGTACAGCTGCTACAACCGTGTACGTACACTATGAGTGAAAAGTTGCGAAATTTCAGTGTTTTGCCGATAAAAGCTCAAAGTGGATATATATATATGTATATGTATAATGAACAGCACAAAGTTTTCCGGGTATAGTTGAATGTACTTTGATGCCTTTGGCGCTTTGAAGAATGAGCCGGATACGTTTCGCCACGAGTATAAGCTGATTCATTGTTAAAAAAAATAAAAAACTTTAATTGTTGTTACGATAAGTGTAAATTTTTCATTTTTTAGGAATTTTCGTGGGCTAAATACAATTATTCGCATACCGTAAAACAAATAATACGTTGATGAAGGGTGATGATTAAACAATTTTCAGGGTAGAGTATTTAAATTAACTGTGGCCTACAAGCTTTTTATAAGGCATATTTCTACCTTTCTTGAAAATTGCATTTAATCAACCATAAAAAAAAAAAAAAAAAAAAAAGAATCATATCTGATGCCGGTGTAGTACTCAAGAAACAGAGGAAATAATTTTTACCAAACAAAGACAAAAAAATTTGCTTCAAACTACAACTGTAACTGTAATGTGTAAACGTAAAGATTGCAGTTAGTTATGTTTCAGAGTAAAATAAGGCATATACGGAGCAAACACTCAAACGCCCCCGTAATCATCCAAATGCAAATGAGGTGCAAAAGCAAAGAATACGTGATGTAATAATACCTGCACGTAATATGCATACGTAAACCTTAATCGAGGCGAACGAACTTTCCAACAGCATCGTCTGTGCAAACTCACGTGTCACGTCGATGACTGAAAATCGTTACTTTTACACTTTACCTGTAATGCTCAGCTCAAATGTTTCTCCGATGCACACACTCTCTCCCCGTGACATCATTATAAGCAGAGTGCCATTCAAACTTGTCAACGTAATTATATATATATATATTTTTTTTTTTGTTATTTTTAGAAATTTTAATTGAAATCTGGTTAAAATTGATTGATTTTACAAGTTAAGAGCCTTTGAAAAATTTAAATGGTTTTTCGAGCCACATCTTTGGTGTACACGTGCCTCTAGGAACGCGTAAAAAATTATCAATTTTTTACCAATTTGACAACGACAAAATTTTTTTTAATAGTTTGCCTCGGTATAAAACAAACTGTTTTTAGGATTTTTTTCGTAAAAAAAAAAAAAAAAAAAAATCAATAATAGTCTAATCAGGAGAATAAAAAGTTTAACGAAAGATTTTCGTTCAGAAATAAATACTAATTTTCGTTCATAAAAAAAAAAAAAAAAAAAAAAAAAAGTTTTCAGGTAAAAATAAAAATATCCTGTATTGTCGAGGGACACGTCCGGTTGTCAGTATATTGTATTAAATTAATTATGTAGATGTTTACCAAAGAAAGGCCTAAAAATAAAACTTCATATTAAAAAGCAAAACGCCTACTTTAATCCTATGAGGGTACAAACAGGTATTTTATACTTAATTACGCCTTTTATATTGCGTATACAAGTCAACGTTATCTCGCAAATCTATATTCATTCAAAATAATATGGCTTACAGACAGTGTAAATTTGGTGAAAAAAAAAAAAAATTTCAATTTATGATAAAGACGCTCACATGCAATATAACACCCGTAAGCTTGAAAAATAAATTTTCCCACATGTAACCACTTAATAATAAAATGTACTTTCATTCGCCCCGTTTTATAGGTACTTTTCGATCACCGCCTCGTGCATTCCCATGCACACTTGCTCGTTCGTTCTCCTTTTTCATTGAGATAGGTAAGTATATGTATATACACAAAGAAAGAAACCAGTCGGTCATCACCATCAGCCACTGGGTTAATCGAGTCGATAAGCTCGGAGATTCGATCCTCCAAAACTTTTCATACGAATCACACACACACGCGCGCGCGCGCGCTTCCTCTTTGTAATTCGCTGCACAGTAGTTATACAATGTACCCCCATCACGTACACCTATACGTGGTATACGTAATACACGAATCGTCGGAGCATGTCGGCTCTCTAAACGTGTATGAGTAAGTGAAAAGCCGAGCCGCACCTTCGATTTTACCTTTGGGCTTTTACACGTGCGTTTATTCCCACACGTGTAGGTACACGAGCTGATAATACACGAGTGAATGGAAGAGTAGTTGGTTGGTTTTGGTTCATCGCGTATGAATGCATACAGGTAGTTGGCGTTTTCTGACACGCCTTCGCGTGCTTCTGTCCCGATTAGTCGGTGGATTTAGTGGTAGACTCTAAGTTGGCGATGGAAAAACTTTTCCCTGAACTGTGGCTTTTCCCTTTTTTCCCCCTCCACGTTTTACTCTGCATCGTGATCGGCGAGGGGAGGAGAACAAAAAAAAGAGAGAGCTTCGATCCAAACGAGCTATCAGCTATACTTTTTGCCAATTCGTTTATCTCGCGAAATAAAAACTCGCTTGCTTGTAGGTGCAGTGAAATCGGGGGTGTGCATCGAAGTCACTTGAACAGTATCAAGTATGATTCAACGGAAAATTTGAATTGATTCGCTCTCGTATACACCTATAATGAATCCCAATGTTGTGCAAGTCCATAAAATTAAAAACCAAACGTGCATAGTGGGGGAGGGGTGATTAAAGCTCACCTTACTTATATACCGATCTAAAGAATCGGACTGGCATACCACGCGAAAAAAATAAAAGATAAAGAAAATATCTCATCCAAAAGCTCATCAAAGAGAGAGAGAGAGAGAGAGTGGTTTTTTTAACTGTATAAAATACGCGGCAACGGCACGCAATCGTGATGGCACACCATACGACGCCAGGGAAATGAGAGGTACTCACGCATCGGGGGTGCAAAGGTAGTGTGATGCACGGACAGGCGTACTCCTCGTTGACGCAGGAGCGCGTGGAGGATGATGTCTCAGCAGCGAGGCGCGAGCGGTGGACTGTCGGACGGCAGCGCGGTTGGCTGTGGGAGAGGTTGCCTCCCGGCGGCGCGGGACGGCATATCGCCAACGACTGCACACACGCCACTTGCCCCACTACACGGCTTTGGACTACTCGCGCCTCGCAACCTCCTGCCCCTATGCGTCGGCGATGGTAGCCCCTCGGCCCCCCCCCCCCCCCCCCGCCTCCTAAATGCTACGTGTTTGTGTGCACGCCACCCCTCTGGTAGCCGGTACGCGGGGCTAAGGGCTCGCGGCCGGTTTTTCGTGTTGCTTAGGAACACTTGGAGTGGGGATCTACTCATCATCACCCCTGGCGCGCGTGTGTACGAGAAAAATGCCTGTAGGCTGCTTTTTTCCCCTCGAGACATTACATGATCTTTTGCTGCCAACAACACTCATGGTTTTTCACTTTCATTGCGATTGAAAACTGTTTTGCGAAAAAAAAAAGTTTAATTTTTTAAAAAAAAGCTAATGTTTCGATAGATCGGTAATGGATAACGGGATCGGTGGCGACGATCGGTGGTGGCGATCGATTATACGTATCGGAATTTACGGAAAATTATACTTGAATTTATTACGAAATCCCAAACGTTTAAAAGAGTACTTGTGCACGGATCCAGTGCATGTGTTGTGTCAAGTTTTTAACGGGACGATGTCGCCGTGTAAGCGTAGGGTTGTTTTCTCGGCGAAAAAAATTAACAGCATTGTCAAATGAAACAAAAAAAGTGGGGTACTTGAAAAATGTATGCGGAGCAAAATTAATTTTCGAGCCGAGAAAATTAATTCGTCCTTTGAGAGCTTGAAATTACAGAGAAGCGCTCCAAGTAAGCGAGAGGGTGATTATTAAATCGATATATGGAACCAAGGCGAGGAATAAATTAAGAGATAATTTAATCGGGGGGTCGTTTATGTGGCCCACAAACTACCGATTCGGTGTGCAAACATTTCTAAACAATCACCACTGCACATGACGTTTGTACATATATTACAAGAGCCTAAATCTATAATTGAGCTCCTGTGAAAGATACGTAAATATTTGATTTTTTAAATATTTCAGCTCAAGTGTAGCTCTAGAATTTTTATAATTAAAAAAAAAATGATTATAGAGCTCAACATAAAAATATTTAAAAAAATATGCTCGACAAATACGTATGAGAAATCATGAAATCGAAACAGTTACCAGCCGCACAATCCGGGATGTCACGTGGTGGTTTGTTTTCTTGATGAGATAAGAGCTATCAAGCAATTGGCTGTGTGTTTATATACGCGCACATTACAATACGCGTAAAATCGGTATGTATATTTATATATGTATGTTCAGCGAAAGAAAGTATATACATAGACAACGGCCGTGACACTTGTACGTCGTCTTCGGGTTGCCGGTCACCGTGGGAGTATAGCTCAGTGGTAGAGCATTCGACTGCAGATCGAGAGGTCTCCGGTTCAAACCCGGATGCTCCCTGCCCTTTTTTTGGGCATTGTTTTTTTTTTTCCAAAATGCATTCTCAATGAATGACCAATTTTTTTTTTCTTCATTTCAAACAAAAGAATAATCTGTACTTGAAAGAAGAAAACTTTTTTTCTTACTTCAATGGAATATTAATAGTAGTACCTAATCCACAGAAATTTAAATCACGTAGAGATTTCAGTCTCAAATTCATCTATAAATCTGCGATACCGGTTGCCTCTTGATTATTAAATGATTATGCGGACTTATCATTTGGCAAGTGAAAATCATTGTTTGAAAAAAAAAGAAAATCAGTGGTTGCTGCCGAATAGGAGCGGTCAGACAATTAAAAGAGTTTTCTTTATCCTTGTGAGTAAGTAGAGATGCTGCTGCAATTTTAACCGATTTAATGGGCTCCTCTTTTATTTGCGCTTTTGACTGCATTAATACCAACAATTGGACTTACCATTTCCTTTTTACTTGAAAATAGTACCACCGATGGTGAAGGGTATATTGTGGCATCTTACAGTTCGATATGACTAGTCTTTTTCGTACCTTTTTTTTTTTTTTACACAGCTGGTGGACCAAAATTGAACAGCCTTTTCATTCTGAATGGCGTTGCCGCTATTTTCTTCTCTTTCTAATTTTTCATACTTGATATTTATGTACTACTCTCGAGTGTTTAAACACGTAGTTCCAATTTACAGTGTAAACTCGCTTAGTTTAACTGTTTAACTACCCTTTTAATTTTTTCAACAATATTTTTGTGATTTATGGTAATGGTACATGGATATACTAAAGCCACAATAAATTATCCAATTAATATATATATATATTTGAAAGGATACGTAAACAATTTTTTATCTTTTGATATGCGACTATAAATGTTGTATGCATTAACAATTTAAAATTAAAATTTTTTCGTCACCAAACTACTTTTGATGTAATAAAAATAACATATTTCTCAGTCAAAAAGTAAACTCTACTGACTGTGTATTTCAAAGTCCCATTACACTTTCAAAGCCATTGCGTGTGGAAAAAATTAAGTGGTAACATCATTAAGTAGTTTATTTAATTAACAATCAGAAACCAATTGATTTACCATCGTAGATATGGGTTATAGTTAACATTTAACAATATTTCATCTAAATAGTTACAATCGCTAAATTAAAAATGTTCTTCTTGCTTGCTGGTATCACCTCGAGTAGGATATCTTAAGTTACGATCTTATGAACTTTTTATTTAACAAATGAATAATTTTTGGAATAATTTCATATCATAAGCGGTTTTAATGCGTGCGCGCGAGTGTATATATATATATATATGTACTTGTTATTGATAAAAGAAACTGATGTACCTATACTTATCATCTGACGGGAATAAACGTTGTGTCGTTATGCGGGAGTGCCTGGTGAACAGTCTGGTGAGATGTGACACATAAGCCAAGCGCATAACAAGTATTTATAGTATTTTTTAAGCGCAATTTAAATTATAAGTAGGCTAAAATGAACTACAATCAGTCTGGAGCCCGGAGAGGTGAGTTTTTTTTTCAAATTCATCGTACTTTAAAGAATTACCAGTGATTTGTCATACTTTCTCATCAAAAGTTATTGTTAGGTTAAGGTGATGAGAAATCATATGTCAGTTGATTGTTGTATGTTTTCATTTAGGGAAACCCAGAAGGGTTTTAGATCCATCTGTCAGCACGACCTCTTCCTCTCCGATTCCCCCAATGCAACAGCCAAATTACATGTACAACCAAGAGGTATGTATCTATTTTTGTTTTTCAAAATGTCTATGCGAATACTGGTTGTGTGTGATGATATATCCAGCAGACTTTAGTAAAGAACTAAAAGTGTCGTTCAAAAAAGTTATTTGAAAAATACAATGATTCCTTTTGGATATATTTGTTTAAAAAAAAACGTTTTTGAATATCAACAGTGAGTACTACTTCAGTATACACTAGTAAGAAACTTTCAAAATTATTCTGTAAAATGGTCTAGCAGACGACGCTCGTTATTTACATTTGGTTTTCCCAAAATCGCTGAAAAATTTTAGTACCTAATCATATAGAACTTACATATTTTGTGAATAGAATACTTTGCACACTAAATAGTAAAATTTCGAGTATATAATCATGCCACAGTAATATATAATGCGTTAGGTGCCTATGAACAATGACGTGCCACCAGAGTATGGTTACAATTTACCAAATCAAGGCCCATCGGTACCTCTAACTCCCACCTCGTATGGGTTTAATCAACAATCTTCAGTGCCATACACTCCTACTGGTCCTCAGAATGAGAGCTTTGGAGGTAGTCAGTTTACAACACAATTACTGTCACAGCCTCTAGTGGCCAATATGGCAATGCAGTATGGAAATGTATTGGCTAACTCAGGAAAGGAACAAATTGAAAAGTTTCTTCCTATCACTTCTCTCAGATATTACTTTGCTGTTGACACTGACTATGTGGTGATGAAGCTTATTCTTTTGTTTTTTCCATTCACACACAAGGTAAAATTATAAAGCTTGGTAAAGTAACACTTGACTGTGTGAATTAAATTTAAATATTAAAATTATTATAAATTGTGTTTGCAGGACTGGTCTATTAAATATGAACAAGACTCACCTCTTCAACCACGTTATGAGAAAAATGCACCAGACATGTATATACCCACAATGGCTTATCTAACTTATGTTGTGGTTGTTGGATTTGCATTGGGCATGCAAGAAAAATTTACGCCTGAAACGTTAGGCATAACAGCAAGTTCAGCTTTGGCTTGGGGCATCATTGAGCTGCTTATTCACATCACAACACTCTATGTTATGAATCTTGACACAAGTTTGAGGTATTTGGACTTGTTGGCTTACTGCAGTTACAAATATGTTGGAATCAATACAGCTCTTCTGACATCTTTAGTGTTTGCAAAACTAGGTTATTATAGTGTCTTAATATACTTTAGTGTATCGCTAGGATTTTTCTTACTAAGGTCATTAAAATTAAGAGTAATACCAGAAGGACATTCACCCTACTCTGCTAGTGGCAATAAGAGAAGACTGTATTTTATACTATTTGTTGCTGGAATTCAGCCACTTCTCATGTGGTGGCTTTCTTTTCATCTAGTTTAAGATACCAATGTATTGGATGGATTATCATTTTTCAAGTGCTTTGAAGATAACAGTGATGGACTTGATGAAGTAAAAAAGCTTTTGTGGAACTGAGAGTCGAGTGTTAATATTTCCTCATTACAAGAGAAAGATCTCTTTTTATTGATGAATTGATACAAGTCAATGATTGTTAGAAAATTCGCTGTACCAAACAAATCGGTACTATTTGGTTGTATTACTATCAGTGGAATTTTTAAATGTTTTCTGTTTAACCTACGAATTAATTTTCTTCCATTTTCCATAAAACTAAAAACTTATGTGCATAGTCACCTCATTTCTAGAATGATTGAAAATTCGTATTATTTTGCAATATAAAAACAATCATCTTGTAAATTCTTTCTTGGTCAATTTTTTTTTTTTTTTTTTTTCCATTGGAATAACGTATTTCAAGTGCCCCTAATTGTTTAGATTTGTTCTTAATTCTAACATATTTACGAATTATTTTTATATATACATATATTGAAAAACGCAATGTGCAAGAAAATAAAGATAATGTATTTGTTAGTTATTCATTTTACAATAAAACTGCAAAAAAAGTAATTGAAATTTTTTCAACTACGCTTACATAATGAAAAAAAATATCAATTGTGTTAAACAACTTCTCTCTCAAAACAAACTGCTTTTTTTTTAAATTGTTTATATTCTAGTTTATCGTTTAAAAAAAGTACCCTTTTGTTCATGTTCAATTGTTCAGAAAATTCTCTGCCAGAGTGCGCTAGTAAAAAAATTTTTGCATCTACAACTAGCGCTATCTGGCGGAGAATTCGGTACTTTTTAACTCGGAATCAGCCTCGCTAGATGGCGCTGAATATAATTTTTTTTTTTACGCAAATGTGCCAATGATCGATCCATGTACACTTACACAAATAGGTAGAAGTAATATAAGTGCACAAGAGAGATAGTAAGTATATTCATTACATTCACATTGTAGAAGTTAATCACACAACACAGTCAAAAGTCGCGCGCTTTCAATATGCGCCAGTGGTGGCACCTACCTACAAGTTTCCGTAACATCATCACCATTCTTCTTCGCGTCCGCATATTCTTCTGTAGTTCTTCTTCGTCATAAGCATCAGCTAAGCACTCGGATTGTTCAGTCAAGCCGCTGCCCCAGGCGAGGAGCAGCCAGTTTGTGTGTGACGTGCTGTCTTGTGTCGTTAATGTGTACAAATACATTATAACATAACAATATTTTGACTATTGCGGGTACACAAACATGCAAAAAAACATGTAGCATGTACATATGTGTAGTATACTACAGAGGCTCTTTAACTTGACGCTTGATTTGATTTGTCATCATTGATAGAATACGTGAGCCAATGGACCGGGTGTGGTGAAAAATGATAAAAAAAGAAAATACTTGAGTGACAAGTAAACAAAGAATAAAAGATAAGAGGAGCAGCCGTGAGGAGTGCATATTGTGAGAACAACAATCATCGTTTTTACACCATCATCGCAGAGATCAGAAGTCACTTGGTGCGCGCAAGTTGCTGTATTAATTATTTCGGAGAGCAAAAGTTGTGTACCATATAGAGAACAGTGTAAGGCAGCACAATAATAATAAGAGCCAGATTAGAAAGTCGCGCGGACGGCGGCAATACGACGGCGAAGGGGACAACAGGAGGAGCTGGAGGAGGCGGTGGAACAGCAGTTGCCGGAGCTGGAGCTGGAGGAGGCGGTGGTGGTGGTGGTGGTGGTGGTGCAGGAGGTGGCCGAAAAATGGCGGAGCGCACCTCGAAGAGCTCCTCGGCCCTGGCCAGCAACCGGCCCGTGCCCATGAAACTCTTTGCCACCTGGGAGGTTGACCGCACGCCCTCCAACTGCATACCCAGGTTAGGACGCACTTGTTTGAATATGTCATCCCATCCACTATCAACACCCCTTACTTACTTACTTACGTACTAAGCAAACTTCATTCTGTTTTTCGGAGTCGCGCCGGCTTAAGCATTATTAAGTACACACGTTGCACTCCACATATTACATATTTATGTTGATGTGCACGTATGTCTATTATAGAAAGAGAAATTAATTTTATCAGAGATACGTCAGTTTCACCGTCAACTTTCTCTATCGCGCAATTTGATTTTCCATCACCAAAAACGTTGTTCTCTTCGTTTGCACACCTTCATAATAATATGCCAGCTCCAAAAAAAAAAACTCTGTACCTTCAAGTGTTGGTTCATAAGAGTATCCCATTCATTATTTTATTGTTGCGTCGCGCCTTTCTCCGAGGCAGCTCTCGGGCATATTAAGATCATTTTTGATAGAACAGCTCGTCATTATCACCAACGCAGTCGTATAAGTGCCTCCCCTAAACTCCCATGCACACCTCCTGTAGGGGGGTGAAAGCACGAGAACTCGGAGCAAGTTCGAGTGCAGCGTAGTACAGAGATGAAAGCCAGAGAGAGAGCTGCATCCCCCATCCCCCTCGTAGGTATAAGCGACCCCGCACACACACTCGCGCAAAATCGATCGCTGCAGCCTCCGTATAGTATACAGCAGCAGCTCTCATCTTTACTCCGGCACTCGGGTACTTTTGTTTTATCCTTCAACATCCCTCTCGGATCATTTGACCCCTACCCTCCTTTTCTGTTATATATAGCGCACGAGTAAGTGGAAGAATAATGGGTGTACGCCCACAAAAGCGTATATGCACTTTAATGCTAAGAGCTGTCATTCTGTTCGAGCATGACTTTTGTTAAAGAAATCTCCTTTAATCTTCCTCGCCTTTTGTGTGTACTGCACCAGTGTGCACTTTGCTTGCTCGTGTCTAAGTAATTGCATATGCCACGTTTCGAGGCGCTACTAGTTAATGAAAAATAAAAAATAAAATATGTGAAACACGAGGAGGAGGCAATATTGCCATCATTGTCTCTATTTACTTCCGCAATGGTACAGTAGGTGTAACGTGGGTGACGCGTGTTATTGTTCCGAGGCCAAGAACACATCCTCGTTAGCGCCGTTTCGGAGCACGAGCTCGTCACTATTTCTCGCCTATTGTTCATATCATGTATGATCCTCTCGATGTTCCGAGTACTTATTTTATTTTCAATTTTGGAGTTTTTTTTTTTTTCATAAAGAATCCGGGAGGTGGTAAATAAGTACATACGAAGACGATGCCGAGCAGATACGCGGGGATTTTTTTCAGGGCGAGCGCAACTCGGGCGCTATCTTGACTTTGACCCGTGCTCTCTCTCTCTCGCCACGATCGATTATCGCGTATCTCAAGTGTGTGTGGGTGTGTGCGTGTGTGTGTACTTCATACACTTATCGTTAGTGCAGATAGACCCGGTCTTATCTGTACTCTCACTCACCGGATACGATAATTAAAATTTATATTTGTCATGCAAACTGAGATGCGTGGTATCGTTAACTGGTGGGTCAAAATATATTCCCACAGATGGAATAGTTTGCTCGAAGAACTGTACAACAGCGGAGAATGATATAGTATCCGTATAGTTGTAGTAGATTGGAGAGATAAAACACTTGTACGAATAGCAGAAAACTGTTGCTGCTGATTGATTTAACAATTTAACCGAGAGGTTGACGTTCATGTGAGGCTGTAATTACGAAGTGGAGATAAAAAAAAAAAAACATGGCAATCAAGTGCTGGTCCTTTGTTACTGCAATGAGATATGACAATACGTTCACGATCATCGACCTACTGGTTGATTTCCCAATGTATGAACCAACAATAAACTCAGGCTAATATCTGTGCTCCGTTGGTCACACGTATCTATGAAATCATCAAGTAAAAAAAACACAACAGATAACTACTTTTTGGAATCAAGCTCCGCTGGGATTCACGCGCAAAATTTATAATTGTAGGTACTGGAACCGAGGAAATTTCGTCAGTCGATCGCGATAGCGGGTTTGTATACATAGAACCGGACACGCCGCGCGGCTTATCGGCTGATCCGTTTTCCGCCGAGCGTTTTGGTGCACGCCTTTGTAATAGCAGCAATACGTACCATTAATTCCTGAGGGTGAACGATCGACAAAGGGGTGATGGAGCAAAATTTTAAGTTGTAGCGAGTAAAAAAAAAAAAAAAAAGGTAGAGAGGGTAGTCATTAGTGACAGCTCATATTACGTGCACGTGTGTAGCTGTAATTAACGCATTTGTAATCTCTATACTTACCTTGAAAACTTACTGGTTCGTATCGAAATGTATCCGAAGATGTGTGTAATTTTATTCTTCGTTGATGTATCCATCATCGCCCTATTCTCGTGGAATATATCTAACTTTTACATAAAATTACATAAAAAATTATATTGTTTAGTATCAAATTAGTATACGGACATATTAAATACTCGTCTCTTGGTGTGTCGAATTGGGGATAATACTCTGCATCGCGTGTATACGTATGCATGACATTGTATGAATATTATCGAGCCGATCGTACCTATAAATATATAAACGAATGCGTGTCCAGCAGCATCGAACAACAGATATCGACTATTTCTTTTTTTTTTTTTTTTTTTTTTTTTTTTTTTTTTCCCTCATCTTCCAAGAAGTCATTATTTACTTGTACAATATAAAAACAATAACATGAAGAAAGAAACGTTCACCTATTCATTCGAATATTACGGTGAATATAATAAAATGTGCTTATTTCTATCTCTTTTTATTACCGTGAAAATTTAAACAATAATAGTTTACCACAAAATGCACCACCGATTAATGAAATGCAAGAATTATTTGCGCTTGACTAAACGCCTCGCGCAAGTGTACGGGGGGCATTAAGAACTATAATTTATCGACAATAGTGATTGCAGATTAATCTCGTCGACGTCTCACTCTCTCGCCCACCACCGTCGAGTCGCGCGTACAACGTATACAGCGCGTGAAATTCAAGATAAACGTGGGAGAGGAAGAAAAAAAAGGTAAATGGCCAATTGTGTTTTGGCAAACCAGTCGGGTGGGTAAGTACTCGACTGCCTACTCGCCACAAAATTATCGAGGCGTAAGAGCCTCGAGCTGTGTATATGATAGACAGAGTGCCAATAATTGGGCCTTGAACTCGCTTGAAAGGGTATCAGTATATAAGGAGGAGCAAGCAAAAAACAGAGAGAGCCTCTCACGAGGAGAGTCTCGCGCGAGGGTGAGAGGAACAAACGAAATCTGAAACTCCCGGAGAGCCCTCCTGTGTACATACACTTCTGGCAATGTAATACAAGCTAGTGTGCTCAGAGTCAGCCACTAGGTATACCTGAGACTCTGGAAAGAAAAAAAAAAGTAGCGACAAAATGCCCAAGATTAAGGTTGTGCGCGACAGAGAGAGAGAGAGATATTGGGGAGAAAAGAAAAAACAGGGTACAAGTCCCGCATGTATTTGAGTTATTCGCGAGAGTGGGTGTATATCAATATTCATGCGTTGCAGGCATGACAAGCTTCCGGTGCGTGCGATTGTGCATAACTTGTGTGTGTGTGTATGCGCGCGAGTCGGGCGCCAAAGCCGCACAACGAGGACGTGCTGTTCGAACCGCCAATTCTTGTGTTTTTATTTATTTTTCTTTTTTTTTTTTTTTTTTGCATCGAGAGTTATTGCCCGTATTGAACTCTGAATGATATCATTGTCGTGCATTATTTCATTGCGACGAGAGAAAATGTGACATGGTAATTTCTTTTGTCAACCCCCAGCTAGATATCGATTTTATTGTTCCTTGATACGAGACATAATGTTAGTCGTGCTGTATGTATTATTGATGAAATTTTTTTTTTTTTTTTTATTTATGTCTCGTTCGTGAATAATGTCTTGATATTACTGGGAATAAATGAATTAAACTGTATTATTTTTGATCATATGCAGACTTCGAGCGTAATTTTATATACTAATTTATTAATTTTTTTATGTTCACTGTAAATATTACATTTTACAAGCCATAATCCATCGTAACGTAAAAAAATCATCATTAGCGTTACTGATAAAAAAAAATTCAAAAATAAATTGCAATCGTGAAATGCTAATTAGTATACCGATCTAACTTCAAGATTCACAAAAAGGAAAAAGATGTTTTCATTATAAAAACCATTTTCGCGAATAAAATGTAAAGCCGCAAATAGTAACTTATCAAACTTTCTCTTTGATTAACTCTTCCGTCTAATTCAAACTCCAATTACTCGTGCGCGTAAATCTTTCTGCAAAACTATACATATTTCACGCTAAGCGTGAAAACAATTTCTCAGAATTACATGATTAATTGATGAGAGAAGAAAGAAAAATTGTAATTTATATTTTTGCAGCGATACATTATTTAACTACGGACATTAACTTTTTATGCGATTTTGTTGGAAAAAGACATAACTGTGTATAAATGGACAAAATTACCATACTGACTTTTTTAACTGCAAATAAATTTCGTTACGTTTTTTAGCTAAAAATAAATATTCCTAGAATTTATCAAAATGATAATACATTTTTTTTTCTTTTTCAAAAAAATACATTTAATTTTTTTATTTGTTATAATAAATACGTAAGATTTTTCTTATTACTGCAAAGCAATAACAATAATTATCGTGATAATTCTGATTAAATAAAGTAAAAAATGTTACATGTTTTCTCGTACGATCGATTCAGTTACTCAATATTTCTTTGTATTGAGTAAAAAAGGTCAATATTTTTAATTTGTTTAAATAACAGTTGATCACGGTAACCGATTGGCAACCCAGACTAACCAGTTTAGAGTACTATTTTCCCCATACCATGACGGTGATTTTACCCAGTCCATCCCCCCACCGACGCGTACATTATTTTTCTAACATGGCATATGCTGTGGTATTTCCATTTGGCAGTGAGCCCCCCTTTTTCTGATGTAATAAGCACCGCGATG